GAGGGTTTGTGTCAGTGGCTCTGCTTTTTATTTTTTTCAAAGGGGCTGAGTGTAACTCTCAACCTTGGCTTCACATTAGAATTACTTGGGAAAATTGGAAAACTACCAATATCCAGATCCCACCCCCAGAGATACTGATTTAATTGGCCTGGCATGTGGCATGGGCATCAGGATTTTTAAAATCCTCCTAGTCTCCAAAGTCTTACCAGGCTTTGACAATAGAAGGCAACATGTTTATGTTTTTTAATTGTAAAATGTAACAAATCTACAAAAAAGTATACGATCCATAAATGTCAGCTTAACAAACTTGTAAAATGAATGCCCGTGTACATTGATCCACTGCAAGAAATGGAACATTGACAGACTCCCAGGAGCCGCTCTTGCTTTTCCCTTTCTTCTTTTCTAACTAACCCTCTACCTTTCTAATCCATTACCCTGATGTTTTTAATCACGTTTTCCTTTGTGTTATAATTTTACCATGGGAGTAGAAATCCCTAAACAACGTGGAATATATTTGCATACTTTTGAATTTTTCTTAAATGGAATCATACTTTTGTGTCTGGCTTTTTTTGATCAACATTATATATATTTTTTATTCATATATGTTTTTGGATATAGCTGTAGTTTCTTGCTTTTCATTATTCTGTAGTACTACATAATGTCAATAAACACACTGTCTTTCTCCATTCCACTGCTAATAGATGTTTTGGTTGTTTTTGGTTTGGAGTGTTATGACCAATGCTGCTGTAAGTATTTTTATATGTATCCTGGTACACAAAGGTAGACATTTTTGAACATAGAAGTAGAGTTGGACACCTTCACTGATCAAAAGGAAAAGACAGAGGCTGAGCTGCAGTTTTGGTGGACTCTTGCGGTAGGCAGGAGTTGGACTGTGGGACTCTGTTAAGAATCCTGATCTGGGCTGGGACCCTGAGGAGTTGCACAGCTCTGACCCACATGCCCTGGGAGTATTGATCTGCAGGAAGCAACTGAAAGGCTGAGCTGTGCTTTTGGCAGTTTCCTGGGGCTGAAGGGTCAATGTCCAGTGCCTATCAAGGGTAGAGATCCTATTGAAACACTTCCCTCTCAGACATGGGACCCAAGAGCAGCCTCCTGGGAGTGAGGTCCCAGGCTCTATAGTAGGACAACTAGCTGGCCCAGAAAACATCAGGTCTTCACCCCATCCTCAGCAGCTGGTAGAAAGATGTAAACGTACTCTCCGGAGAAAGATAATATGATTAAGTTCTTGAAATAGTTATTAAGTTCTAATCCTCTCCTTGATCTTTACGGGTAATTCCCCACTATCTTGTTAGCTCATTGATGCTTTGATGAAGATGTTTTTTCCTACCCTTAGCTTTTTTTCTTTTGCTGTCTTCAGTAAGAAGTTTGGTATGAATTAATTTTTATGGCACATGCCTCCCATAAATCCAGACTTGTTTCAGATACTTCTAAAATACTCTGGGAGTTTCCAGGGAGAGCCAGCAAGCTTTTCAGTCTGTTGTCATGGTTGCCTGACACTCTGGGTTACTGCTCTGCCCTTTTGCAGTCTCTCTCTTGACACATTGAGCCCAGTATTCTTCAGGTGGCTCTGTCTTGTGCCACTTTGCTCTCAGCATTGATGGAGGGTGTGTACATGAGAGCTGGCCATACTGGTTTATAAGAGCTGATTGTTAAATTTTCAGGCATTTTGTCAGCCAGTGGTTCAACATAGCCATTGTTAAAAATTGAGTTATATAAACTTACAATTTAAATAAATTATATTAAAAACAAAAAACAGTTAATATATTCAAAACTCATCTCTTCCTAATTATTTTACCCTGTTTTACTCTGATGCTCTCGAGGTTATTTATACTGGATCTGTATGGTTCCTCAATGCTTTCAGAACTTCTCTAAGAAGAAAGTGCGTGTCAGAATATATTCAAAATCCGTACCCTGTTTTACTCTGATGCTCTCGAGGTTATTTATACTGGATCTGTATGGTTCCTCAATGTTTTCAGAACTTCTCTAAGAAGAAAGTGCACGTCAGAATATATTCAAAATCCAACACATCTCCCTGCTGGTTGCTCGACCGGCCACCTTCATCTTTCATCTGGAACACTGCAACAGCCTCCTGATGGGCTTTCATGCCCATTGCCCCTCTTTAGTCGATTCTCAGCACAACATCCAGAAAGATCCTGTTAAAATGTGAAGTGGACCAGGTTTCTCCTTTGCTTAAAATCCTCCCACGTCTTCTCATTTCACTACCTAGGATGCTCCTCCCTACCTCTCCACATCATTATTCTCCTGTAGGTCACTCCGCTCCGCCCAACCTGGCTGCCTTGCTGCTCTCTGAGCAAACCAGATGTTTTCTTGCCTAAGGGATGTTTCACGGGATCTCCTGTGCCAGAAAGTTGCATGTTCAATCCCTTATTTCCTTCAGGTCTTATCTCAATGTCGCTTTTCAGTGAGACCTTCTTCAATCCCCCCATTCTCTGTCCCCTTTCCTCCCTAGTACTTATTACCTTCTAGCTACCTTACTCACTCACTTCCCCCTTTCTCTCTATAAACTTTGATCTTGTTTATCTTCTTTCTTCTCCCCATTAGAATGCAAATTTCATGAGCAATTTTTACCTGGTCAATCGTGTTGAATTAGCATTGTCTAGGACCTAGCACTTGGCACATAGCAGTTTCTCAGTAAATATTGAATGCATGAATGAATGTGTAACATCAGAGTGGTAGAATGGGCATTCGTTACGAGCTGGAAACCTCAGTTTTAATTTTTGCCTTTACCTGTGATAAGCTCTGTAACTCTGAAAGATTCTGTTTCCACATCAATGAAATGGGAATACAATGCCTGCTCCACGTGACTCATTGACTTTTAGTGAAGCTCATTTGAGGAAGTCTGTGTAACTTACTCCACATAGGTGCGCAGGGATATTTTATCGTCTTACTGTTTATACACAGTAGCTAGATTCATGCCCACCTTCCACCTTGCTTTAAACCATTCCCAGGAAAAAGTTTTCCTTTTTTTTTTTTTCCGTGACTGGTAATGGGATCGCAACCCTCAGTGTCGCGTCCATACCGCGACCGGCAACGGGATCGCAACCCTTGGTGTCGCGCCTGCACCACGCTCAACCAGTGAGCAGACCGGTCTCTATATGGGATCCAAACCCTCGGCGGGAGCGCCGCTGCACTCCCAAGTGCCACACTCTACCGAGTGGGCCACCGGGCCGGCCCCAGGAAAAAGTTTTCCATTTGAACACAGAGAGGGGATAACAGGACATTTCTCTATTTCCCGCTGAAGATTTTAGTAGATTCTTTATCACTTAAATCAGATAACTGGACTCATTATAGGCCATTGAAGACCTGGAAGATAAAATAGCAACCCACGAGAAGGGTCCACGGCCCCATCGATGTCCACGTTGTGTTAGGTGTACTACATATATTACTTCATTTTATCCCTACTGCGACTTTGCAGGGAGTACCTTGCAATTTATCACTTTAGAGATAAATGGAAGTTTAGAGAGATCTATTATCTCACTAAAGGCAGCAGAGTTGACAAGAGGCAGAGGCTAGAGAAGCGTTCAGATCTGTCTGACATCCAAAGCTCACTCCCACTCACTTCAGAAAATTGAGAATATTCACTTTTATAATGTCTGCTACTGGACGATGTTTCTCACTGATATGTTATTTCTTTTCAGACTGTTTATGACCAGTGGTTCATTACACTTTTTAACATTGTCTACACATCACTACCTGTTTTAGCCATGGGGATTTTTGACCAGGTATGTGTTTTTCTCTAGCTTTATAACTTAGTTTGTCTGTTATGCCTTTTAGTTGCTTTAGCTTCTAAGTAGAAGAACGATTTATGGAAAGAGCCCTAGGAGTGCAGTTGTTTTAATAGGTGTTGCATAAATCACAAACTCTTCCAGATTCCCCCATCCCCAGCTTCCCCAGGAAAGTTCTCTGATCAAAGTTGGCTACTCTCCTCTCAGAGATTCACACTCCACATTACTGCTCCAAAGACTCTGAAAAGTCCTGCAAGAAGGAGTCTCTTTAATTTCATTTTAGCCCAGCATTTCCAAAACTTCTATGACTGCACTTTTACCTTTTTCTCTTTTTTGGTCACATAGCACCCCTCAGAACTAGTGTCTTGTGGTTCACACACCAGGAAATACTGCATTAGCCTCTGAGCGTTTGTAGAGAACCATGTAGTGATAGACAGAAAATCATGGAACTAGGTTGGAGCACAGAGGCCTAGCATCTGTAGTGAGACTTCCTTGGCCAGCACAGCCCCAGAACAGGAACCACAGGCCAGCAGAGCAGCCTGCCAGTGAGATAGGAGGACTTGAAGCCCCACAGCCATGGAGAGAAAGAGCACAGATTTCTTTTGTCCAGCGTCAGCACCTGAGAGGGTAGAAGGGAGGGAATCAGTTACAAAAATGGTGGATCCCTGGCACATTCAGAGCCTTAGAAGGTACTTCCTGGAAGGATGAAAAAGTCTGGCTGCCTATGGGGAAGTGGAAGGCTGGCCAGTAGAGTTTCCATAGCACAATTAAAGTGTATTATTAAAAAACATTTTTTTTTTTTTAAGTATTTTTAAGAAGCCCAGATTTTCTCCAGGCTGTTGTTAGACCCATTTGCTAGGCCTCATTTTCTGGCCCAAAGCCATCTATTGCAAAACATAAATCTTCACATTATGAGCTCACTTCACTCTCCCATTCTGCTGGCTTTGTAGTCAGTTGGAAGTCTCACTTCTCATATGTAAAAAGGGCAGTTTGTGGAAGGCATATTTTGTGGAATTCTACAAAAAGTAATGAACTTCTGAAGACCTTAGATGTAAAGGATTAAGCACATTCATTTCCAAGTGCCCATGTTTACAAGTGTTTCTTTTCTTGGTGCTTTGTAGCTGCCCAGAATGTGGAATAGAATAATAAAAATAAAGCAGTTTCTGGGAAAAGATGGTTATTGTGCAATTCGAAAAAAATATAATAAGCCTCCTTATTGCCGTCAAGTTGAGTGTCCGCTCCTCTCCTTTCCCACTTTGGCAACTTTGGCCCTCAAACTGATCACAGGATCATGGAATGCTGTGCTGGAAAGGCCTCAGTGATCATCTCCGGATCTGCTCATTTTGTAAGGAAGAAACCAAGCCTTGGAGGCTCAAGTCACTGCCCTAAGGCCACTCAGCCAATAAGTGACAGAACTAAGCCTAGAATCAAGCTGCTTGACTTTGAAGTTGCTACATTATTACTGTTGTTAATATTATTATTGTCATTATTTATTTTTATTTATAGACATGTCTATTATTTATTACTTATCATGTGGCAAGTGGCAAGAATTCTACTGAATTCTTTACACATTCATTTAATCATGACAATGGTTCTGTGAGGGAGGTGTTACTGTTTGCATTTCTGAAGATGAGAAAACTGAGGTTCAGACAGGTTAAATAACAGGACTACACACCTGCTAAACCTGTTACCTGGTTTTAAACTCAGGATTCTCTGCTTTCAAAACCTGTGCATATAACCCCATCAGTCACCAGACTGGGGACTGGGGGAAGAAGCACCCAACAGGATCTCAAAGCAGGCCTTCCTAAGGAGAACACGCCAGTGTTCTTTGTGGGACCCTGTTTAGTGAGACCTGGGCCATCGCACAGGCAGGAAGGGGAACCTGATCTCCCCCTGAGTTCACGGTCTTTGGTGTTCCCAGCTTGGCTGCTTTTAATTTACCTGTGCTCCTCCAATGTCCCCAGCTAGTGATTTTTGCCATCCTTTTTGGCTCCTGGCATTAGGCTTTGGTACTCACAGTGTGGTTATCAACGTTACTTTGGAGCTTGGCTGGAAATGTAGTCTCAGGCCTTCAGACCTGTCAAATCATAATCTGCTCACCAGGCAATTTATGTGCACATTAAGTTTAGAAGCATTGCTTTAGTTTCCCCCAAAACCTGGTTGGTGCCAAACATGCTGCCTTCTCATTTTGTCTAAATTCTTTGTCCTGAACACCTGGTAACTCCTATTGAATCCTCGCTGTATAGAACACTCAGATCCCAAGACTTCAGTTTTGGCTCCCATTCCACCTGGTATCCCACATGGAATCTCCCCCTTTCCCTCCTCCCTTCCTCCTGCTCATCTCCCCCCAAAGTCAGGAGCTCAGATTTGCCAATTCTCACTCCACAGCTCTCTGCCACCATCTCCTGGTCGCTACCACTCACTGCCTTGGCAATTAACTCCTGGGGCCCATTGGCTACACATGTCTGGGAGCATCAATGTTTCTGAGAAGTCTGCAAGCCTTAGCAGCCTGCCAAAGAATATAGGAAAGAAACTTCAATGTGAAGCCAAATATCTGGGTTCAAGTCAAATCTTGATTCTGCTGCTTAAGAGCTGTGTGACCTCTCATGAATCTGCCTTGGAGACTCAAGTTCCTTCTCTGAAAAATAGGGATCATTTTATTAACTTCAAATAATATGTCTTGTTCTGGCCCAGTGAGTGGTGCATATTAGAGCATACTTAAACAAGCATTTGCTATTTCTGGAGATAGGGAACATAGGGCCTCTCTGACTCTTCCTCAACCCTCCTTTACTGAAGTTCCACTCTGTTTACAGGATGTGAATGATCAGAACAGCATGGACCATCCCCAGCTCTACCAACCTGGACAGCTGAATCTTCTTTTTAATAAGCATAAATTTTTCACCTGCATGGTGCATGGAATCTACACCTCATTAGCCCTTTTCATCATCCCCTACGGGGCCTTCTACAATGTGGCTGGAGAAGATGGGCAACACATTGCCGACTACCAGTCTTTTGCAGTTACCATGGCCACATCTTTGGTCATTGTGGTCAGTGTGCAGGTAACTCTGTTGGTGTAAGCACCTTAGCTTGATAGGTTTACAGCTTTTAAATTCCATTTCCTTTTTGGCTGAATTGATCTATTTGTTTGGGTAAAAAATAATCTTAAAGGAATACTGGGGTTTTTCTTTTTGACTGCATGTTTTGAGATGAAAACAGGAAGCTTTAACATAAATTACCAGATGTAGGGGATTAGCATTAGGTGTCTATAATCATGTTAGTAGAAACTTCACAATTAATCACTTCCTTGGTTCGGGCCCTGTATGTAAAGAGAAATGATTATCCTGCTACTCACTTCTTGTGTTTGAAGAAGAAACATTTTCCAATGAAAACAGAAAGAGAAACTTTCCCATCATTTAAGACTTAATAACTTCCAGATTTAAAGTGAGATCTAAAGTTTATTTGGCAATAAATTTCTGTGAATTATTCAAGAGGTTCAATGCTATATCTGTGGCATATTCAGATCTCAAGTTCAGAGAAGCTCTTCTGGTGGGGATGATTTTTGATGCTCTGTTGACCTTTTTCCATCAGCATCTTGAGTTGTGTTTCTATTTCCTTTTTTTTTCTCTTTTTTTTTTCTATTTCCTTTTTAATGTGAGTGGTGGTCAGTGCCATTAGATACTGAGTTAGTGTCACAAAAACTGATGATGATTCATTAAAATCTGTAGTTCCGGGTGAGTACAGCAAGCAATGTGACCTCTGTTTTATTTTGATGTATTTTGATTTCTGAGCAAACTGTCAAGAATTAGGTGATCTCTTCTTTGTCATAAGGATTCACTTTCAATTCTCTGGATTCTTTATCCAGAGAGAGGGGGGTGTTGTAGGTTGTACAGGGACATCTTTCAGTAGTAACAGCTTATTCACTTCCAGGTCAGGCCTGTTACTTGGTGCTCCAAGAGACAATCTGAAAGGTAGTAACTGAGATAAAAGACCAATATCTGAGGGAAAAAGGAAATGGAAAACATTCTTTAAACTGTTCTTAACATTATATCTGCTATATAAGTAAGGGTAATAAATTACCTAGAAGATTCATTGTAGATATGGTATATGACAGGCATTAAATGTTTTTAGTGAAACTGATCTTATAATTAGCTCTACAATTTTTGGTTAACTTTATCTTATTATAATAATTTTTTAAAAACCTGTTGATATTCCTATATACCTTTTTCTCTTTTTCCTTTTGCTTGTTCATAATTTATTTCTTACATGTTATCGCAGTAATGCCAGTGCAGTGTTTTTGTATTGACTTCACATATGGAAACTGTTTTTTCCATAAAGCACACCCTTCTTGTTCCAGTTGGATGTCACGGTTTCATTTCTTCTTTTTTGCAAGTTGAGATACCACAGAAACAATCCTACTTTTAAAACAATGTTATTCATGAAGAAAGATTACAGAATTTTGCATCCCTGTCATTTGGAGTTTTAAAAATAAACTATTGAAAATTTCTTACCCTTGGTTATCAAGGTTTTATAAGAATGATATTCATGCTTTCTGAAAGGAGATCCACACTTAGGACTCAAAGTAACCATCGATCTCTCATTGAAAATATTTCGGATGGGGCTATGCAAATGGATTTGGTTCAAGCCTTGAATGGCCATTTGTCTCTCCAAGATCCATTCTCTGTCTTCCATCTTCTCAAAGGCAACGATGGTCCTACCTACCCTTCCAATCTCATCACACATTACTCCAGGCACAATGGCCTCTTCTCACTCCTGGAATTCACCAGTCTCTTGCCTCCCTTATGCCTTTGTTTTTTTCTGCCTGGAACAATCTTCCCTCTGCTTCCCTCACACGTCATTTCTTCAGAGAGGCCTCCTTTGATCTCCCATTTAAATTAGGCCTCCATTCTCTCTATGAGCTAGACAGGACTCAGTTTTGTTTTTTTTAACCTCATAGCTGTCCTCTCCACTTGTAAGTACATATTTAGTTGTGTTCTCTGTTTAATGTCTTTCTACCTCCTAGATCGTAAGCTTCTTGAGGGAAGTGGTAATGTCTTTTACTCATCCCTGTATATCCAGGACCTACCACATCATCAGGAATATAACAGACACACATGGATATTTCTTGACTAATGAACAAATTAGGGACACATTGAGAGGAAATTCTCCCTCTACTGATCCTGTCATAAAAACAGAGTTCATCTGGGTGTGTCAGATCCCTAGGAAAGAATCATTATAACTGACTTGTGTTTACAGATTGTATCTACAGTTTTCAAATGTGTGCATGATAAGTTCCCAAACAGTTGAGAGACAGAGTCCTCCTGTGCTCAGTCTAGCAGAGAGACCCAGCTGTGAAATGTGACATGGGGAAGTACATGAGTGAAAGATGTTAGAGGCCTTCAAAAGCAAGGTATTGTGGGGAGAGCCCCAGTACCACACAGCTGTAGATAAGTGGGACCGTGCCTCAGTCACTGCCTTTTGCAGCCAGGCAGAAATTAGGCCATAAATGCACCTGTGGTGCCTCTCTCGTAAAAAAAAAATCCTTTATTATAAAAAGAATACATTGCAAGAAGTCTAGGAAAAGTATAAAAGTGCAGAGAAAAATTAAATTTGGCACATAATTCTACATCAGTGTTAACATGGCAAAAATGGAAATCAGATTATATATAATTCTATATCTTATTTTTTTCACTTAACTTTATATCATGACCACTTTATCTTACTCCTGAAATATTCTTTGAAATATTCCTTTTAATGGCTGTGGTATTCCAGCATATGAATGTACCATATTTGTTCAACCATGCTGTTGTTGAATTGCTTCTATATCTTCACTATGGAAAATTACACAGTGGCAAAATTTCATATACATAATTCTCATTGTGATTCTTTAACTATTTCTTAAGGATCTATTCCTAAAAGTGGGGATTCTGAGACAATGATATAAGGACGTTTAAAACACTTGACACATATTGCCAGATACCTTTCCAAATAGTTTGTATCATTTTCAGCAGAAGGGTACAAAGTGCCCATCTCAGCTGACCTTCACTGATTTATTAGAGTATTAATTTGAAATATTTTGCAATGTTAAATTGATGACCTTTTGTTGTCTGGGAAATAACTAATACATGCTGAAAAAAATATTAATGTTTGCAATCCAAACAGTAAAAATAATTTTTTTAAACCTTTTTATTTTGAAATAATTTTATATTTACAGAAGAGTTGCAGATACTGCAAAAGCAATTCCTGCATTCCCTCACCTAGATTTTCCTCCGTTAATGTTAGTATCTTACATAATGATGGTACATTTGTCAAAGTATTTTATATTTACAGAAGAGTTGCAGATACTGCAAAAGCAATTCCTGCATTCCCTCACCTAGTTTTTCTCCGTTAATGTTAGTATCTTACATAATGATGGTACATTTGTCAAAGTTATGAAATTAGCATTGGTACATTACTATTAACTAAACTACAGACTTTATTCAGATTTCCCCAGTTTTTCTATTAATAACCCCTCTTTCTTCCAGGATTCCACATTGAATTTAATTGTCAGGTCTCTTTAGACTCCTCCAGTCTCTCACAATTCTACAGTCTTTCTTTGTCTTTCTCGACCTTGACACTTTAGAAGAGTAGTGGCCAGGTATTTTGTAGAATGTTCCTGTTTGGGTTGTCTGATGTTTTTTCTTAGGAATAGATGGAGGTTGTGGTTTATTTTGGAAGAATCACAAAGAGGTGATGTGCCCTTCTTGTGTCCTCCTATCAGGGAGCATGTGATCTCAGCATGACTTATTACAGGAGACATAATGTTGGTTACTTGGTCACAGTGGTGTTTTTCAGGTTTCTCTACTGTAAACTGTGTTTCCCTTTCTGTATTCTATTCCTTAAAAGTGAGTCACTAAGTCCAACCCACATTCATGGGGAGGGGAATTAAGTTCCACCTCCTAGAGGGAGAAGTATCAAAGAATTGGTATAGAATTGTACCATAACAGGTATAATTTAAATAAAATTGATAAAACAAACTGGGGCCCAGAAAGCAGAAGTGATTTATCCAAGATCCCACAGTGACTACCTTGCACTAGGATGCAGCAGTCTGATTTCCTAAGTTGGCATTCTTTGATAAAGATATTTGTGAGTGTTCTATTAAGGATTTGGGGCAAGCATTTCCTGCAGCACAATTATTGCTGGGCTGCAGGGTAATTAGGCATAGCTGGGAATGCAGTTGTCACCATTGTAATGCAGAAACAGTCATGTACTTTAAAAGAGGACGTGGAGGAGGGCAGAACAGATGGCTGACTAGAGAACTCTACCACTTGTCTCCCCCACAAAGACATACAAAACAATGAATACACAACTACACTTGGATGAAAATAGCTAAAGGAGAGCACTGGAGCACATCAGAGAAGTAACAGAAGAGCTACTGAGCACAGAAACTCAGGATAACCACATAGAGAATGAAAGGAAATACCCGGCCTCTGCCACCCCATCCCCAAGCCAGGGGCAGCAGGGAACTAGTAGGAACTTCTGCCTGTAGGGAAAGATAAGTGAGATGTCTGTAGTTCAAGCTACAAGGAAGCTGATGACCCTTGAAGGCTCTGATCCCAGTGTGGGGAGCTGCTGGGAGCCTACATGACTGCATAAATCCAGGGAGGGAATTTACACTGAGCCCTCCTGGCCCCCAGGTCCCAGGCTGCTGTAGCATGTCACCATTTTGGGATCAGAACCAGTGCCCAAGTGCATTTTGCCCTCGGGCCCAATAGCCCCTAATCTCTACAGCCCTAAGGCCCTTTCATCACATTGAGACTCTGGTACCCATACCCACACAGTGCCTTGCACCCTGGAAATAGCAGGTCCAGTGCCGTATGGAGGCCACCCACAGAACAGAGAGATCCATTGTGCACACATTCCATAGTCAGAGAACTGACTGATCAGGGCCTTCTGCCACTGCTGGTGGCCATGGTCTCTTCAGCAAGACACCTGTGCACCTTGTCCAGTGGCACAGAGTCTCATGACAGCTCCAGCAAACCCACCTAGAGCCACTCACTCCGGCTGGGAATCTGTGGAACAC